GGAAGGGCAGGGCTGGGCCAGCCAATCCCCCCCCCCCGAGCCCGCTTTGCTCATAGGCATGTGTCATGAGACTCGCTGGCATTTCCTTTCCACTACGTATTGAAATTAGCTCAGGGGAGTCATTCAGATTTACTTCCCTTCCTGGTCGGTCTGAGTGTGCGGCTCAGAAAGATGCTCTGCCTCTGTCTGTATGTGCCGGTGTTTGGGGAGTCGCAGACAGAGTTTGAATACTTTGAGTCGAAGGGGCTGCCGGCTGAACTCAAATCCATCTTCCGACTCAGCCTTCTCATTCCTTCCCAGGAGTTCTCCACGTACCGCCAGTGGAAGCAGGTATGGCCCCAAGGGAGGAAGGGGAGGGAGCGAGCGATGGAGGGCTGGTCTCCAACCCCCTGAGCGCTGGTCAGAGGGGGAGAAGGTTGTGACGGGTCTGTCGTAATAGTTGGCTACAGCACGGACTCGCTTCTCTTGCCGCTTGGCAGGGACTGCCAAAGCAGCGTGGAGTGGATTCTTTTCTTTCCGATTCTTTTGACAAATCTGATCAGATCTCAGTGCCTCTAGGAGCCTTTAAACCAATTGATCTTATGCAATTTAAATAGAAAAAGGGTTTCTCCAGGCTGTGGATTCTTCTACATTAGCTGGTCTGCTCAAATATGTTTAACATCCTCTCCCTTTTCCTTCTTACACCCTTTCCCCTGCCCCTCTTCTGACGGGAGGGGTGTGATCTACTGCCGGCTCTGGCTGATGCGGGTCTTGCCCCGGCGAAGGGAGCAGGTTTGTGCTATGAGCCAGCGAGCGGCTCGGCAGCGGCGCGTGGCTGAGCCGGGGCGGGTTGTGCAAGAGCATTTCGTGTCACTGTGGAAGGGAGATGTATGAAATCTGCGGAGCTCTTGCTCCGACTCTGATGCAGCCCTTGCTTTCCGCTTGCTGCTGCAGGCGAGATTTGTTCATGATGGGGGCTGCCAAGAGCCCGGACAGGCTGGGGCACACACACAGATGGGGGATGTAGCAGGCTTTGAGGCGTGTGGGTTCCCAAAGCTGCAGGCACGGTGTGTTACGCTGGTGACCACAGAAACGTCTGCAGCCAGCACAGCTGCCAGCAGCTTGTTGTCCACGGAGATTTCATATTTGCTTTTAAAGGCAAAGAGCTGCAGGCAGGTATTTGTTTGTATCTCTGGGGAAGATGCTGGGAGCTTGGCTTTCTCGCCCTTCCTGCGTGTTGCCATTCGATGGGCTTGCAGTGTTTCTGCACTGTGGTGGTGGAGGGTGCAGGCGAGCAGAGCGAGGCAGCTTTCGTTACCCGTGGTCTCTCGTCTCTGCGGTTGTAAGGGGCACGCTGAGAGAACGGAGCAGTTACACAGTCACGGCTCTTACAGTGCCTCCGAGTTACTAGCGCCTGTCAACTGGTTGGGGGTTGCCTGTCAGAGGGAAGCCCTGATTCAGCGGTTCAAGGCCAACCTGCTGACACACGAGGGGTGTTGGTCTATCTTTAGCCTACCAGTTGAGTGTGGGGTCATAGCTGAACTTTACAACAGTCATATGATAAATTGCAGGGTAAGAATACTGAGCATACCTCAAAGGTTAGGGCAGCTGGGACAGCACTTTCTTATTTAAGGTTCGTAAAGCGATTAGGAATAATCCTCATAGCATTAAGGCTAAAGTGACAAGACTTGGTGGGGTGAGTGGGAGTTTTAATAGTCATTTAAACTGGCTTTAAGACAAGGACTTGTGAAGGAGACTGGTGCTCTTAGTCTGAGGAAATGTCACAGTAAGCTTAGGTTTGCCTGTTACCTTTGAAGCCTAAATATTGAACAAAATACTTAGGTTTGATCTCAGCTTGGAGCTTCCTTAGCAACGCACCTGCTGTAAGACTGAATCACACCTCGTTTGGTGTTGCTCACTGATTCGTGTTGAAAAAGACTTGGAGGCTGTCAAAGACTGAACCAGGAAGGGGGGTGGGAACTCCCTGAGCCACATTCTTCCAGCCCAGAGATTACCCCTCCTGTCAATGAGCAGCCACGTGCCCTTCGGTAGGACAGTCCGTCTGCTATTGCCCCACGCTAGAGCGAGTTAATTAGCTGTTTACCTTGTCCTACATGTCTGACATAGAGTCTGATCTTGATTCAGGCTTTGTCCTACTTAAGAACCTTTTCTTGTTCTATATTCATCTCATGGAAACTTGTATAATTAAAGCACATAGCTCCAGGGTGCTTAAACCAGTTCATAGGGGTTTTTATCTTTGGCTGTGTCCACTGGAGCTGGACAGGCTTTTTCTGGTTGGAGTTAGTTATTGCCAGAGGTAGCTTACTTCTAAGGGTTGTAGTAGGCATGTAATTCCTTCTCCTGTTCAGGGCTTTTTTTTATTACCGGAAGTTTTGTGATTTAGTTTTTATGCAAATCTGTTGCCTCATATGTAGTTCCAGAACCTCCACAAGGGCTTTGTAAGGTGTTAATCAAGATACAGGACAGAGATGAGACACATGATACTAGCAGAATATCCCTGATAAAAGCACGAGGCATTTCGTCTGCCTAACTAACTTTTGGGAATCAGGTGACTTTTCTACACTATTGCTTTGCTCAAATTTCTTTGAGGAATTATAATTCTGTCAGCTATTTTCTAGAGGAAAAGCCAAAGTTATATAAGAAATTATCTTTATGGTAGAAGAAAGGGCAGATGTTTTTAAATGAACAAAGGAACTGACAGTTTGTAAATGTTTTATGAACAGAAAATTGTGAAGGCTGGAGACAAGGACCTGGATGGACAACTGGATTTTGAGGAATTTGTTCACTATCTTCAAGATCATGAGAAGAAGCTGAGACTGGTCTTCAAGAGTTTGGACAAGAAGAATGATGGTAAACACCTTTCTTGTGCTCCTGAATAGACTACTTGCAAGCATTAGCTTGTCATATGTGACTGGAGCTCACTGGCTTACCTTTGCAGGCCGAATCGATGCCCAGGAGATTGTACAGTCTCTTCGAGACCTGGGAGTCAAGATCTCTGAACAGCAAGCTGAGAAAATACTGAAGAGGTGAGGATTCAGCTGGTTCTTCTGCTTTACTGTTGAGGGGGTTAGAAGGAAATGTAGGGGCATGGAACCCACCTCCTCTTTCTACACTGTACACGCTTCCCAGAGACTTCAGCTCCTCCCTTTTTGCCTGTTACTCTTAGTTTTGATTTTGTTCTTTCCCTGTGAATTGGCACTTGCAAGGCTGTGGTGCGTTATGGAGAGTTACCGTCAGGATCTCCTCCCTTCCTGACCTGTTGTGGGGAAGCGCTTTGTGCCTGAGCTGATGTGCATCCCTGTCTGATCGTCCTGCTGCCCTGAGCTTGCTGCTTTGTAGGAGGACTGCGCAGTTGCTCTTTGGAAATGCTGAGTGCTTTATGCATGTGGCACTAACATGTTAACAACCACTTATTTGTGCTGTTTTTTTCCTCTTTCTTTCCTCTGCTACCTTCCCTCTGTCTGTGTGCCTGTGTGTCAGAATAAGGACGGGACACTTCTGGGGTCCTGTCACCTAGTAAGTATTCTTTTCCCTTCAGTGTTAGTTATGTCCCTGAGTTTGGTAGGAGGAGGTGCAACCACTCCTGCGGGTCAGATAAGCGGGAGAGAGAAAGGAGGAAAATGGGAGCCTGCTCCTACCTCTCTGCAGTGTTTGGTGAATAGGAGATTTCCTAGCTTTGTCTCGTGTCTCTTTAGAAGTCCTTTAGTAGTTGCTTTGCAAAGCTTTTTCTGGTGTAGGCCTGAATAATCAAAGGGAAGAGGAGGAAAAGGAATTTGTCACCCAGTGGGAGTCTGTACTCATCTAATGGTAATTCTTTTTAGCATGGATAAAAACGGGACAATGACAATTGACTGGAATGAGTGGAGAGACTATCACCTGCTGCACCCAGTGGAGAACATTCCTGAAATCATCCTGTATTGGAAGCACTCTACGGTAAGAAATGGTTCCTCCACGACAGGTCTTGGTCCTTTCCCAGCTTCTCAGTCGGAGTGCTGACCCCCCAGGAGCCGCTATCGGCAGTCCCTATCTTTCTCTTCATGCTTCAAGAGCTGCCTTGTAGCCCTAGAAGCCCAATTGCTTCCTGTGCTCTCCTGTTATCTCGCCCCCCCATCACTGGCACGGCTTCTGAAGCCTCTGGCACAGATGATAACTGCGCCTTCTGCAAGAAGATTAGGTGTTCACTTGGCTCGCACCTCCGAGAGCTCATACCAGTGGCCAGCCCCCACTGGTTCAGGGCCTGTTAAGACTAGAAACTGATTTGTCAGGCTGCCATCCTTCCTGGAGATATTCCGGTGCGTGTAAATAGCAGGCAACGAGATTAAACTGGCTGCGAGCTTGGAAGGTTCCAGAGAGGTCCTGCTTTTTGGCCATGCAGCTGCCTGCAGTTGGTCACTTTGTTCCTTACTATGATCCGCAGTATTTTAACGCAGACGAATGTTTGGCAGTTGGCAGCTTCTTGGGCAGTGGGCTCTGACTGTGAAGGTTCCCTTCCGTGATGTGCTGCAGTGGTGGCAGCTCCCGTGGCTGGACACAGCACTTAATGGCTGTAGATAAGCTGCTGACTTGGAACGAGCATATCCAGAACTCTAACACTTAGCGTTGATAAAAAGCAGTAAAACTTTGGCAAGATCACTAGCTGATGAAACATTTTTCAACACCTTATGCGTTTGCAGATCTTTGATGTAGGAGAAAACTTGACCGTCCCGGATGAGTTCACGGTGGAAGAGAGGCAAACAGGGATGTGGTGGAGACATCTGGTTGCAGGTGGAGGTGCAGGTGCTGTGTCCAGAACCTGTACAGCTCCCTTGGACCGCTTGAAAGTGCTCATGCAGGTACGATGGAGCAGTTCCAGTTTGTTTGAATATGCAGTCAGATTCCTTTAATATTTTCAGATGCTTAGGAGATGATGATGTTCACTGACACAGTACAGCCCTCTGGCCTGGATTAATCTCATTGCTTTCAATACTGTTATTTTTGAAAGCTTTTTGGATTATGTGAATGATCAAAGCCATGTTAAAAAGTTAGTCTTCATTGACGAGAAAAAAATACAGAGAATCTTTTGGGAGGTAAACGTGTGAAAACTGTCAGTAGTTAGAGGGCTTTGTGGTTTAAAGTACTGAAAAACTTAGATTTTGGTGAAACATGTTCAAGTCTTGTGTTACCATGAGAGAGCCTGAAGCCAGGAGAGTTGAAGTTGTAGTGGTCGGCTGGCAGAGCTCGTAATAAGTAATATCAATGCTAGAAAAACTTGATTTTAGCCTGCTTTGTCACTGTACCTCCTCTTGAGCCAGCTAAGAAGTTTGCCTTGGGTAGCCGATCCTACGCTAGGTATGGGAGTTGCCTATTTCCTCCTGTTCCAGAGGGAGATATTGATTAGGTCCATTAGTTAATACTAGCCTTCAAAAGAGAAAAGAAGCTTGCCTTCTTATTGTAGAAGTTAACTGGAAAGGATTAAAGCCTTGGCAAATCTCTGGGTAAATAAAAAAAGTGCCCTTTTGTCCCTGGATTATGGAGAAACGTAGCACTGTCGTAATCGGGACTGGAACTAATCCAAGCTCGCTCACCCTCTCCCAGGTTCATGCCTCCCGCAGCAACAACATGTGCATCATTGGTGGTTTTACTCAAATGATCCGAGAGGGTGGGACACGGTCGCTGTGGCGAGGGAATGGCATCAACGTGTTGAAGATTGCACCAGAATCTGCCATTAAGTTCATGGCCTATGAGCAGGTGAGTAAAGGGACACAGACAAGTCTGGCTGCAGAAGGACAAGCTGAAAGAAGACGGGGAAAAAAAACTGTTGAGATCAGTTAACGAGCCTCAATGTCTGTTTTGGCTTCTCCAGATCAAGCGGTTCATTGGGACTGACCAAGAGATGCTGAGGATTCACGAGCGGCTGTTAGCTGGTTCCCTGGCTGGGGCCATCGCGCAGAGCAGCATCTACCCGATGGAGGTGAGGAGGTGGCTGCTGGTGCAGCACGCGAGGGGTCACAGCAAGGTGCTGAGATGGGGAAATGTGGGGAGGACACCAGCACTATGATAGCTTAATGAGTTCTTGGTGGTGATATCAGGTCATACTGCTTGCTTGTAGTCCTGACCGTCATGCTCTTTTGAATGACATCATATGTTTTTCTCCTACAGGCCTTCACGGTATTTATTTTTGTCTTCTAGGTTCTGAAAACCCGAATGGCTCTAAGGAAGACAGGACAGTATTCAGGCATGTTGGATTGTGCCAAAAACATCCTTTCCAAGGAAGGAATGGCTGCCTTCTACAAAGGCTACATCCCCAACATGCTGGGGATCATTCCCTATGCTGGTATCGACCTGGCAGTCTACGAGGTACGAAGCCTTTGACCTGTTGTAGGGCTGTGCTGCATGTGTAGCTTCAGCAGTGTCAGACCTGTCGGTTACTAACGGAGTTTAATTTATTGAGCCTTTCTTGATCAGCCTTATAGGACACAAGCTGATTTTTATTTTGTTTTACTCAAAATGGCCTAAAAGATCATAGAATCCTAGAATGGCCAAGACTGGAAGGGACCTTTGAGATCATCTAATCCAACCTCCCTGTCACGGGCAGGGACACCTCTCAACTAGATCAGGCTACTCAAGACTCTGTCCAACCTGGCCTTGAACACCTCCAGGGAGGGGGCAGCCACAACGTCTCTGGGCACTTTATTCCAGAGTCTTGCCGCCCTCGTACTGAAGAATTTCTTCCTAAGGTCCAATCTAAATCTATTCACCTTCAACTTAAACCCATTTCCCCTTGTCCTAATACAACTAGTCTCCTTTCCTAGTCAACATCTTTCATGGTCCCTTGGGCTTTTTTTGTTGTGTTTTATTTTTTTAATGAGAAAAATGCAGCAGAAAATTAAAGAAGGGATTTACCTCAGGCACTGCAGTACCTCAAAAAGATTTGAGAAGCCTTGTGCTTCTGGCTGAATTTGCACGTCGCTTTCTGGCCTTTACTCTAGATCTTTTATGTAACGTGATATTCTTTTTATTGCTTCTTCACTGCTAACATCTGCCTTGTTTCTTCCAGACGCTAAAAAACGCCTGGTTACAACGCTACGCTGTCAACAGTGCTGACCCCGGGGTCTTTGTTCTGCTGGCCTGTGGCACCATCTCCAGCACCTGTGGACAGCTTGCCAGTTACCCGCTGGCTCTTGTGAGGACACGCATGCAAGCCCAAGGTGAGAACCTCTGGGAACTGCAGGAACTCTTGTCACGGTCTCTGAGCAGGGTAAAGATCCTCTATCGCAAACATTGCGACAGCCGCCGTAGCTGCCTCGTGCAGCCGAGCCGTGGGCTGTTTGCTGTGCCGCAAGAGGACAGTGGACTTTGTGCTGCCCTTAGCATCCGGGGCCAAGCACCTCTGTTGCAAAACAGGTTCTCTTTTGCTCGCATCGGGAGGTTTGGGCTGTAAGGGCGTCCGCAGAGCAGTGGGGGAAGATGGCTGCGATGTGCAGCACGGCTGTGGCTCGCTGAGGAGCGTCTTTGCTCCACGATCATCTGTAGGAGGGATGTGAATTGGAAC